CAGGCTGCGCTGGGGAGCGGCCGGTCGTGCCGGCGCGCTCCCTGTGGCTGCTCTCCCGCAGGGCTTAAACTTCTACTAGCTTAGCTTCGCTGGCCGGAGGTGGGGTTTTTTTACCATTTTAAGGAAAACACCGTAAATGGACAGGGAGGGTAGAGTGCGAGCTTTATGTTTATGTATCTGTACGAGGTATTATCTTGTACGGATTGTGATATTTATAGGCTTGACCCCCTCGTATCCTGGGGGTTATATTCCCCCCTCCGTGTAAGTAACGTACACTGACTAGATGTAAAGTTTCAAACTGGAATAAAAGCCATTCTGTAGTTCTAAATGCCATTTTGAACTTTGGCACACTGAATGCTGATTATGACTACCTCACCACAGTTTATAACCTATGGACCTCTTTGCTTTATGTTTTTAATTTATTTATTTTAACAACATCTTGGATCTTTACAAGATCTGTAAGTCATCTTATGGCATCCTACAAAATTACAGTGACGGGTTTGAGTTCGTGCGCTTCTAGTTCTTTTTATATAAGAAATGACTGGATATTCTACATTGTAAGGTTTGCAGAGTTGACAGAAAACTTCTTCCCTTTTAAAAAGGGTTTAGATTTATCTGTTTCTCAGACATACTTAAATGCATATTGGTTACTGAGCAAAGTAAAGGGAGTTACCAAACATCTGCTAGTAGAGGTCACATTGAGGGGCAAAAAGATACTGCTTTCTAATATACCAAGTCACTGTAGCAGCCTTTATGAATTTGGAGAATGAAAGGAAGTTCTTGGGGTGCTTACCAGATTTTTCTTCCACTCAGTGAGTATTCAGTTGTGTGTTCAAAAGAGTTTCAGTTAGCTGTTCTTTTCTTCTTGCGTCTGTCTCAGAGTGTTTTTTATAGTTTTACGTAGTGGTTATAAATCTCTACTCAGGTTTCCAGCCAAGCCTCTCCCGGCACCACCACAGAACTTCTTTGTTAAATGAGAGTGGCACAAGAGCAGAAACTACGAAGTGTTGTTTTTATGTCCTTGGTAATGCTCACAGCACCTTTCAGTATAGTTGGTTCTATATTGTTAATGTGCTCTTCAGTATTTAATTCAGATAATTACTGTAAAATATTACACCAGTCTTTAATGGCGAGTACTGTTATTAATAAGTATCTTATTGAACACTTCCCGTTAATTTAGTACAGTTTTTCTTTCATCCTTCCTTTTTTTGCCTAACCCCTTCATCTGGGTTAGTCCTTGTAACGGAGTAGTTTGAGCTTGTTTTGAAATGGCTTTTTAACTTCACAGTTCAATGAACTGTACTGGGATCTGTAGCCATTACAGTATATTGCTGTGAAAATTGGAACTTTAGAAGAATAAAATTTCAGTTGCGTATCTGTTCCTCTGAACCAACAACAGTTCTAATGAAGGAGATTGATAAGTACAACAGAATCCATTCATTATTTGCATTAATGCATCATGTTGAATATCTCATTATCTTCTGGTGCTCAGCAGCTTTGTAAATGACTCCTGTCTAGGCTATCTCTGAACTTCTGTTTATTGTCTCCTATGGTAGGAAAAGACAGAATTATATTTGCGACCAAGGAGGACCATGAGACACCAAGCAGTGCTGAGCTGGTTGCAGATGACCCAGATGACCCTTATGAAGAACAAGGTCAGTAGTAAGCAGAAGAATGGACATAAGGAGTGATACATCACATATATCCTAACAATCTTAAACAAGAACAACAGAAAAGAAACCTTGTATGAAGCAGGAAAAAGTTATTCATTTTTAGAGGCTAAGGGCAGCTGGTTATTCAGTAGACAAATACGCAAACTCTTAGCAGTTTTAGCTTCCAAATTAGGACATCACAAATGACATACTTTCCTTACAGTGGATTTTTTTCTACCCTTTTAATGATCTTTCAGAGTGGCCTGTTCGAATACATCAGTTGGTGGCTTTTAGTTCTGGTTAGTAGCCAGAAATACCCAGAAAAAGCTTTTCCTTCCTTTCTTTTATTAACAAAGTTAGTGCTTAACCAGTGAAACTTGTAGTCGTTTTTCAGTTTTAAATGACGAAGTGCAATTTTCAGAGAAGCTGAAGTGAGTTACACACGACTGTCATTGATGTCAGTTGCTCACCTGACTGTGTGCAGCTGAAATTGCCTAATTTGGTGATCTCTCCGTATCCAATTTAATATAAGTTATGTCTGAGTAATCCTGTACTATACTAGTAGCAATATAGTCAATAACTAGTAGCAATATCTTTCAACATCACGTGACAGGTAAGTTCAAATTACTCAGTTTTCAACTGTAACCATCTTGCCTTGAAAAGACGTAAGTTAAGTTTTCAGTGAAGATTACAGTTCTTATATGAAGTAGATCTAACCTGTAAATGGAGATTTAAGAGAGCAGAATATTTCTGAGTTCAAGGCTTGTAATATTCTGATTGCACAGAGCATATTTTGTGATGTTTCTAATGGGTAAATGAAACAATCTTCCTGTCGTGATGATTAAATAAATTTTGGCCTATGTTAATAAATTGTCATGAACACCTACGAATTTGGGTTAAATTTTTTTCTAATTGCCTTTATGCTTACAGGTCTTTTAGCCTCTTCATTTTGTTGTGAAACGACCTCATTGCTTTCAGCTCAGCCGAGACTGAAGTAAATGCTTCACCCTTTTTGAAATTTCGTTAGAAAGTAAAAGTTACGCCAGTGGCTCTGTGACCTTTAGAGGGCAGTATTTGAGCACAGTTTTGCTGCTGGTGCACACAGGGTCAATTTGTTGGCTGATGTGGTATGTGCTTTAGTTTGAACCCTATCTTCCTAGGTCATTAAAATAACTTTCTCATACATAGATTTGTGTTGAAATGATTTTGCATTTAGCTGCCTGTCTTGGCTTCATTACAACTGTATGTAGTTGGTACATATATCTAAATGTTTTACTTGTCAGCAGTTACGAGTCCATTCAGTTTTATAATGACCCAAATAAGAAGAATAAAACAATTTCAGTTTCAGAAAGGTGCGTAAAAACTGAATTTAGTATCTGTCAGGAATTCTTCCACCGCATATTTTCAGGTAGGTTGTTTCACTGTCTAAGACCCTATACCCAAACTGCCTGTTTGGAGGAAACAGTCTATGCTTGGGATTTGTCATCATCCTCACCATGGGAATGGTGCTTCAGCCCCTAAATATTTCAAAATAGAGACCCTTACAGGCAGTAAAATTTACGTGACACTTCTATCTGTTAATGCCTTGACCAGGATGAAAGATGGAACCTACAAATAATTCACGTAAAGTAGTTCATCCTTAGGTGGAGAACAGTGTCTGAGGAGAGCTCATTTTTAAGCGTATTTACTCCTGGCAGTATGCTATGTGGAAGTGAAACAAAATCAGAGTTTTTAACTCCTATCTCTGGCAAATTTATAATCCAGTGTTGGTCTGTTAAGTGAAGAGTTAACAGCATCTAATGATCGGATGGTGGAATTAAGTTCCTCGTTTCTTTTCTGAGGCCTGTGGCTGTTTCCTCTGAAAAACTGGAGGCTGCTTGCAAAATAGAGTATGGAAAGATACTTTTTCTAAGTATCACATCTGGAGAACATGCAGACTCTTGGAGATTTTGTCATTCACTGAACTGTTAAGTCACCTTGTGTGGTGTACAGCTTAACAAACCAGCTTGCTGTTTAGCTAAGGGAATTCATGTGTGCAGTCTGCTGATGTTACATGTGGTTGTTTGAAGTTCACCTATTTTTCCCCTCATAATCATTCATGGTCTTTGGTGATAATTAAATATTCTGTTAGTAAAAGTTGTCTGTATAGCAGCAACATGTGGATGCATAGTGGTCCTATAACTAAGCATCGATTTTTGACACCAGCTTTTAAGAGGAAAGGGAAGGGTGCCCATCTCAGATCTAGCATAACAGAGAGACATACTACAAGGGCTTGGAACGTGAGCATAGAAAACAATTCTCGTGATACCTCTAAAGAGGGTATTCGCTTCCTTCTGTCTCACACCCCACCCTTCTGCCCCAACCTTTTTCTAGTTGTATGTATACCACAAGTATGTAGTCTTGTGCCGTTTATTTGGGTAATAAACTAACCAAAATTAAAAGAGCCACTTCCTCCTTGTTTAAATGCCATATTCATTGTTTCATTTTATGTGTATTTTACTGGATATGGAAAGACCATGGAGAGGAGTAGAGGTGGTGGGTTTTTTTTCTAGCAACCCTGTATATACAGCACGTTAGATCGCTTGCTTCCTAAACTATAGAGCAGGGAAGAAAACAGAAAGCCAGAAGCTAGTCATGTTAGGGACACCTTACAGTGAAAATGACGGTATGATTCAAAAAGAGAAACTCTGCAAACTGTTTAAATACTCTTAATAAGTTTGGGTTATGATTTTTTGTTTGGTTGGGGTTTTTTTCTTAGCCTGTGGTAAGTTACTGTCATGTTTTAAGTGTTCTCTGAAAACTTCGCTCTTGAACGATCTTGGGCTACAGTGCTTCAGGTCAAAACAGAGCAACATTTGACCTATCACAGAATGTAGCTGCATCTAATGGGTGTGAGGTTTGTGGTCAGGAAAGACACATGGGCAAAATGTGTTGAAATATGTTAAAGTGCAGAAGCTCTGGCTCGTGTGGTTTTTATTTAAAAGAAAACTGGAAAGAGCTTTGCCGTACATAAAGTAACATGCAGACTTTTCTAATTTAGCTTCTACTTTGAATAGAAAACTTGGTTTCCAGTGTTCAGCTTCTGTGGCATAATTCACTATAATGACTCTTTTCATCTTTTCTGCTGTCCTGTGCATAGAACAGCCATATCTGAGAAAGAAGAGATTTATTATATAGATATACCATAATCTGTATTGTTTTCTAATACAGCTGAAACTTATTTGAGGTTTTGTGTTTTTTTAGGGGCGTTTTTCATACTTAAGATGGAGATTTTATCATTTTATGATGTAGTTGGTGTTTTTGGATAGTTCTTGCTTTGCTTTGTGCATTAACAGCCGTTAGTCTTTGGGCAGTCTACTTTAGTCAGTAGATCACTCAGGAAAACTTGTGCTCTGTTTCCCTATGGAGAAAATAGAGTTGTGTAGTATTCTTTTTTATTTCTATAAGTTATGAGATTGATTTGTTTGTTTTTGTTCTGTCAGTTATGAGACGTAGGCAAAATGTTAATGGCTCGCTTGAAGCCAAAAGCATTGAAAGAAATGAAGCCGTGTGAAATGGGAAGGCACACAAACCCCAGGGTAGGTTCAAGTTAGCACTTCGTATTGCAGCATATCTCAAGAGTTCACTGTATGTGCCTGTTAACAGCTGTGGCTGCTGGAAACAGATTAAGAATTCTTTTGCAGCAGTTTTGAAATAGTATTCTCTCTGTAAAGCTTGTTTCTGGTCTTATGTGTTGCAGATGGAAGAATTTAAACGTGAAAGATATCTAGTTTTCATTGAGATCTTTGCTCCCGTCAGAATAATTTCTTATTTTATTAAGCTTATATGAAGAAGGCACTGGTGAGTTTTGTGTGTGAAAAGTAATCTTTATTAGCATTAAAGCTATGATAGGAATGTTGGTTAAAAGTGCTTGTGGATTTGCACCTCGGACATAGGTTGTTGCTGTCTTCTCCCTTCTCTGTTTCTCCAGACTTGCTCTAGTCACCTTATTTTAGAGACAGTTTTGAAATGGTTTCCACAGAGGTCGGATGGAGCAAACCCCCTAATTCTTATAAGAAAGAACTTGAATGATCAGGTGTACAGGACTGTTTTTACGACTGACTGTGTCCCTTTCAATCCTGCTTCCTATATGTCTGTCATCTTGTATTGTGAATCATTGGCAGATAAACTTGTAATTGGAATGTTTGTGATATAACAAGGAAGAAACTTTTATTAGAACAACAGCGGGACTTCATTACAGCAAGCACTGAGACAAGTGTTGACATAAATGTGGATGGGCCTGCCTTCATCTGTGATATTAACAGATCCCGTGAGCTAAGAGAGATTAGGATTGGGTTGTGTGATGTCAGCAGTTAATTGCTAACGCAAGCCTTGACCTGCTATAATGTAAATAGGGTTGCTTTTTCTTCCCCAAGTGCAGGCTCGAGTAGATTATGACCCACTGGATCAGTAAGGTTCAGGCTGCATTTGAAAGAAGTTCTAATTCAATTTGATTAAAAATAGTAATCCTGTCTATTTCAGACTTGCAATTCAGGGAGAGTGATGGATGAAATCTGTTTCCATTTTAATTGTGTGCTAAGCTAGCTGGTACACTGACTCATTGAAGTGTGCATTCTGCTGTACTTGTCAGTGAGGAAATGCTTACCTTATTTATCTGGTTTTTTGTTTTTTTTTCTTTTAAAGCACAGTTTCTGTGCAAATAATGGAGTGCTATTTCAGTGATCAAATAGGCACAAATCAGTGCTCATGTGAAATACAAGAATGTGTTGTTTATGGGATAACTCTTATGTTGTTAAAATCTGAGTGCTTACAAGGCAGTTCTGGTTCTAAAAAGAGCAACTTATTTTAGAGAATTAGTTTTCAAGTGGTTTTATTGCTGTGATGTCTTCAGGAACATTTCAGAACTCTGTATTTTTTCATTTTGAAGTATTAGAAAAATGACTGTTTAACATGACTGGTTGATGTTAGTGAAGAGGAATATAGGACTTCAAAATCTAGTTTACAAAGCAAGCCATATTTCTTCTACACTGTATGATCAACAGCTTTCTGCTTTATGTCATCCTTGGCAATAAGGAGTCTGGCACCAGCCATCCATTTCCTTGTCTCTGAAATTCTGCTTTTCCTCCAGGCAGCTAGAGATGCCATGATTCACTGTACTAGGTGTACCTTCTCAGTACAGTGATTGCTACAGATATTTTACAAAACTGTCTTGCTGAATAAAGCATGTTCTGTGAAAAATGACAGTATTACTGTAGTTGACCAAATCATGCTAAGGAGGCTGTTACTTTCTGTAATGAAAAGGAGGCTGATCAACACTGAGATTTGACTGACTCAGTTTTATTTTCTGCTGAACTGCACTGACTGAGTTAGAGCGCATCATTGGTGAATTGCAAATCAGAGTAAAATTTTCATTCCTTTTAGTATAGCAATAAATGTGATTGAGCTGCTTTTGCTGTACCAGTGCATAAGAGTCGTGATACCATGGCCTAGTGTCCAAGGAGTTGCTGGTGGAGTGAATCACATGTCTGGAACTTCCTGATCCCACAGGACAAAGACGAAGTAGGCTTATTAAATTATCTGGGAGTATTTTTGGTAACATCAAGTTACTTCAGGCCCTAAATATAATTTCATGTTAAGATTGGAATTAATGCAACTTTATTCTCTGACAATGGTATTTTCATACCTGCTTCTAAAGGGAAAGTACTTAAACTTCCTGTTTATGCACATCTATTAGCTTCTGCAGACACTGTACCTGGAGATAAATTTAGGAAAGCCTGCTGAAGAGGAGAGCAATTGTTAAAGTGAAGAAAAAAACAGCTTGTATCACAGCACAGTGTTTCCCTTGTTCTTCATAGGTGAACATAACTGCATGTATGTTCATGCAAAGTAGAGAAAGAGACTGGAGATTTATTACTTTAGAGCAATAAATTAGAGACTCTAGAAGCCCACACAACCAAGTCCATTACATTAGTTTTCTATACCTGACTATTCAAAAGGTTTTCTAAGACTTACAGAGGAAAGGAGTTCTCTGTCTTGCTGCTTGAACTTCATTGTGCAAACTGGTTGATGTCTCAAAGAACACACGCCCCTTTAAATCTTCACCTTGCTATTCCATCACTGAAGTATTTCTGTGATGACTTTAACTGTTCCAGAGCAGAAATTTACAGCTGTTCCAATTTAATGTCTAAAATGAGACCTAACTCACTTTCAGTTGTGATAGAAATTTAGTGCAGATTGATTTCTGGGAACCAGACAGGCTGTCATGCTCTCACTATTCCTTGTGTTCTGTGACACGTGACTTAATCTGTGTCTTACAAATAAACTAATTTTTGTTTTTGTAATTCTGGTTTTCCAGTTTGAATTTTAAGGGGGAGAGTTGTGCATTCAGGGTTGATTTAAACCAAGACAAAAAATGCATCCATCCAACTTGATTTAACAAGAATTCTAGTCTTAATATGGGAATTCAATTCTTATGACTTGTATGACATGAGTTTAAGGCTTGCTTGTTCACCTGACAGAGTCTGGCAAGTGGATTGATTTGACTTTGATCTCTTTTGCAGTTTCATTAGAATATTCTCAGTGGTCTGAAGACTTAATTCAGGCACAGATATAGAACTAAACTCACTGGTGACCAGTAAAGAATCCTACAGGTCAGAGCTAGAAACAGACTAGCCAGGAAATGAAAGGTGTTTGGCATCCTTGAAGCCATAGAACTGATATGGCGTTATTAATACTTCAGCTTACGCCTGCAACCTAGCAGCTTTCATGGAATGATACCTGTTTTTGGAAGGAGCACTTAACTTTTCTTCTCTCTTGTTTGTTCAGGACTGATATTGCCCAATGGAGATATCAACTGGAATTGCCCATGTCTGGGTGGAATGGCTAGTGGTCCCTGTGGGGAACAGTTCAAGTCAGCCTTTTCTTGTTTCCACTATAGCACAGAAGAAATAAAGGGGTCAGACTGTGTGGACCAATTCCGTGCCATGCAGGAATGCATGCAGAAATACCCAGATCTTTACCCTCAAGAGGATGAAAATGAAGAAAAAGAGAAGTCAAGTAAAGATTTGGAAGCTACTCCTATGGAGGCTTCTGCTGCCAAAGAGGAGAAAGGATCTAGCTAATGAAGATGCAAGGAGGCTGTTGTCTCCATTCCTCATTTTCAGAGACATGGACTTTTGCAGTATGTCTGTATTTTGAGTCGTCAACAAATGTTTCACTGTTGTTCTATACACTGTATCGTAGTAAATAATTTATTGTTGAAGGAGGAATCTCAGTGCTACAGCCTTGCAAGTAAATACTGCAAAAGGAACAAGTATGTGTATGTATTGTGTAACCTGCTATCAGACACAGTTAATACTTCAACAGCTTTTTTTTTACCCTCAAGTTCTCCTTGAGTTTTGACTTGAATAATGTCTTTAAATATATATAGCTTTCAACTAAAATTCCACTAGCACACCAGGTCTGTCTTCATTTCAGTATCTTCTGATCAATAGCTGCTCTTTTTTAATGTATTCTGTTCTATTAATAGAAATTGCATTAAATGATTGTTTTCCCTTAAAGATTTTTTTTTTTTCTGGAGTGATACAGGACATTGAAAATGGCCTAAATCGAGAATTTGTAAAATCATTTCAAATGGTCTTATTAGATTATGGTTGCATTTTACAACCAGCATCAGGTAAGGACTGTCAGAAAAATGTTGAAATGTATATCTCCTTTGATTTAATTTACTTACTGTGATGGCTTTTGCATGTTTAAAAATCGTGTATTATACAACCATTGATAAAGATGAATGGAAATAAGGTTGATCACTGGCTTTATTTTTGCTCTGAAACCACAGGTTTTGGGTTCCTTTAGTTAGTACCTGATTCTTAAGTGTATAGACAGACTCTTGCAAAATACTTTGAGACTACAATGAGAATGTTAACTGGTGTAATGATATCAAAACAGATACTGTGATTTAAGTGCATATTAAAAAGCAAATACTTTTTACCTTCATTGAAAGCTCCTGTTTGTGTGGTGTGGTTTTTTGTTAACAGTGCCTGGATTTGAGATACTCTACTGCATTGTAAGCAGACTTTGAATCAATTTGTGGGTTGTGAAGATCAGTTGCTACAGCTAATCAGATTTTTTTGTCCCATTCTTTTCTCCCCAGCTCAAGACAGGAAGGCATAAAAAATGTAAAGCATTTTGAGTAGCTACAGTAGACTGTGGATCATGAACCAGCACTACAGAGGACCTGAACAGCTATTAAAACATTTAAAAATTAATTTAGACGTGCAAATAACTTAATAGTAATTCATTGTAGTTTAGTGCCTGGATAAGGGAACACTGCATTGTTTTTCCTTCCTAACAAAGCATAGGCTGTGAGAATTGTGTTAAGAAAGAAATTGTACCTGTTGCTTCAGTAACTGTTCATTGCAGGGTTGTTTGCTGTTGTTGTTTTTTTCCTCCCCTAATGTGTTGGTTAACCAAAGCATAAAAAGTTGTAGTGGCAAGAATGCAGCCCAGTAGGTCTAGTAATGCTTAAACATTTGTCTGTTGCTGTGGGCAGCAATCTGGAGTGCTCAGCAACATTGTTTCCATGTAAGGTTTTGGTGTCTTGTTTGCAGAAGTGATTTCAGTGTTAGTGATGATGCTTCTGAATATTTGAGATGAATTTGTGTTAAATTTTATAGTGTATTTGAGCTGTTTATATTTCACTACAGCTATTGGATCCTCAGAAAACATTGTAGGCGATTAAGTGGCTGACAGCTACTCAGTTCTGAGGGCATGGATAGCAAGTACTCTCAGCATCTCTTTGCTTTTAACAGAAACAAAGTGTGACAGTGCTTCTCAGTGTGACTTTCAGGCATAGGAAGACATGCCAAGTTAACCTGAGTAAATGGGCACAAAAGCAGCAGTGATAAACCTTGGCACTTAGGCAATTGGACCATGAAGATGAAATCTTAGGCAATCAGATAAACACTGGGCACCAAATTAAAAAAAAAAAAAAAATCACATGTACCCAAGCTTTTGGTTGTTCAAATGGAAATCCAGTGCCTTATTTGTGAAGAAGCAAGAGCTGTTTGTGAAGGCATGCTCTGTTCTAAGAACAGTTTGCCTCGTATTTTTTTCTGCTGTGCTTTCCTTTCCCACGTTGCCTCAGTGCTCTTATGAGTTTTGGATCTATCCTCTAACAGTGTTTAGAGCATCTGTGTACAGAACATAAAATGCAAGGATCACAGAATAGTAGGAGTTGGAAGGGACCTCTGTGGGTCATCTAGTCCAACCCCCCTGCCGAAGCAGGGTTACCTACAGCAGGCTGCAGAGGACCTTGTCCAGGTGGGTCTTGAATATCTCCAGAGAAGGAGACTCCACAACCTCCCTGGGCAGCCTGTTCCAGTGCTCCGTCACCCTCAGAGGGAAGAAGTTCTTCCTCATGTTCAGACGGAACTTCCTGTGCCTCAGTTTGTGCCCATTGCCCCTTGTCCTGTCACTGGGCACCACTGAAAAGAGCTTGGCCCCATCCTCCTGACACCCACCCTTCAGATATTTGTAGGCATTTATAAGGTCCCCTCTCAGCCTTCTCTTCTTCAGGCTGAACAAGCCCAGTTCCCTCAGCCTCTCCTCGTAGGGGAGATGCTCCAGTCCCCTCACCATCCTTGTAGCCCTCCTGGTCCTACAGTAGCCAGGAACCTGCATGTCATACTGACAGAGGGAACTTGCAGCATATAATCCAACATATTTGAGGGTGTGTTTAGGATGGAGTTACTTCTTTCTGGTTCTGCTGTTGGCTTGGTAACCTGTTGTGCTAGATCCAGTACAAATATGGAATATATGTAAGGGCCTTACATCAGAAACTGTGAAAAACACTGTGTAATGTGTTTGAGGTGTTTTGAGAAGGGAAGTCATAGCTCTAATCTGAAAGTGGTCTTTGTGGAAATTACCACTTTTTTTTCCTCCTATCCTTGTCAAATTAGAAACTAGTGTAACTGTCATCACTTCACTGCATTTGTGTTCTGGATAGTTCCTTAAAAATGATGTAGCCTGGACCAAAAAAAAAAAAAAGTCTCTCTAATTCTCCTCGCCTACAGTTTTTTTTTTTCTTCCCCTTTGCTTCTGCTCCTGCTGAGTGCCAGCATGTTCTATTGTTTACTTTTTTTTTCCATCATTAGTAACTAAGTAGTAATAGAGATTTGCCTGACAAGGAATTAGGGCTGTATGTTCAGACACAGAGTCCAGTCCCTCCTGTTTTCTGGTTTAGTTCTTAGAGTACATTTTTCTGCCATGGAATTTGTATTTTGCTACGTTGAGAAGTAAAATGCAGTCAGACTTCGTTCTAGATTTTAGGTTCGTGACAACCATGTGGTACGGTTTGCACTTCAGTGAACAATTAGGAATTAGGAGGTAGATCAACAGTCAGTACATATTGTCACTTCCTTGGACCCATGAAAGTAAAGAAGGAGAAGCTATTCAGTGTGGACTCTGCAGCTGATTTTGATGATGCAATTTTATGGTCAAGTTATCTTTCTTGACCATTGCTGACCATTGTATATCCCTTGAAACTATTACAAAATTTACACGGAGATTTCTATTCCATCTCTAGTAGTAGACTTGTTTATAACTCTAGATGAATGGGGAAAAATAAGTTGTCTGGAATTTCTTTTCTTGCTATGTAAACTAATGTAGTTGTCTGTGTATAGATAATATAACTCCTTTTTGCTGTTATGTTTCCCAGTATTGCTTTGTTAACATGATTTTCCTCTTTACAGTTGCATGCTCCCATTTTAAATCTAAAATGAAGCAGTGGTTATTTTAGCATGTAAGAAAGATGATAAAATGATCCCTGGCAATATGTGGCCAGCCTGTGAAATAAGCAGATAATAAGAAGTTACGTTTTTATTGTCTGAATATAAAGCTTAGAGTTGCATATTTCTGTCTGTTGCTGTTGTAATGTGTTTCTCATTTTCTGCATAAGTAATGCCTTGATTGTCTATCTGCCATCAGTGAGCTACTGATTCTTGCAGGTTGGGAGGGTGGATTGTAGATTTAAATATTTTTGAGAAGTTATTTTCATGGAGTCATTTTGTAATGATTTTATGCATGGTGTATCAGGTGCTTTTGTATGCCAAGTCAAAAGTAGTCATTGGTGGTAAAAAGGAAAGCTTTCATTGTGAAATAATTGGTCTTTAATTCTACGCCTTTTAGTTGATCTCTGTCCTATAAAAACTGATGTGCTGAGTGTGGTTAAAGGTTTATTAGAGTTCAGCTAAAAGGAACTGTTAACAAGGCATGAAACACTTCTAGATATAGTAGAATAATCTTTTAGTAAAAATTACTTAGCCCGAACAGTTAAGTGCAGGTATAATTCCAGTTGGATTTTATCCATTTAGTTTTTAGAATAAAAAGAGGTAGTTTTAACTGTATTCATCCTACAGACTTTTGTCATTGCTCCTAAAATACTGCCTTGTACAGTATTGCTATGTAATACTTCATTTTTCCAGTTTTAATTATTCTTCTTCAGTTGCACACCCTTGTAGTTCTGGAGTTAATGCAGTAGTGAAACAACTCATAGATTTGGAGACTGGATAGGACAGTTATCAACAGGCTGGAATTCCAGCATGATGCAGGCCACAAATTCATATATAACTTCCTTGTTCGGATGGGGTTGTTCCTGCTATCAACTTAAACTTGAATCAGTGGAGCATGTGTCACATCTCCTCATGCGGATAAAGATTGCCTATTAAAATTGTCTCTCACAGGTGATTGTTTTAACATAAAATATATTCTAAAGTATAGTTAACTACTGAAAAATGGTTAAAATTAGATAAAATTGCATTATTGCATAAGTTACTAATTTTTTCTGCTTTTCTCTGCAGTACAGTGTACCTGCATTTCAAAGACCTAACTTTAACTTGTGTTTAGTCACTTTCCTGGAGCTATGACCTTGCTTCAGGTGTGAAAATGACCTTTCTTTTTTTCCTTCTTCCCTGCAACAGGAATGATGTACTTGCGTACACAGATGAGTGTCTAGAGGGAGATGTTTATCTTGCAGTTTATTCTAAGGATTGTTAGATCTGGGGATCTGGCAGGGCTGTGTTGGAAACAAGATCTACATCCTATGCAGTTCTCATTGAGAATGTCCTTGTTAAACCTTACAGCAATGTCTCCTGTTCATCAAAGGCACTTATCTGATCACATGTCAATGAATCTCTTTGAGGAAAGTTGTTACTTAAATAGGTAGAACCTGCTTTCTTATTCCTAGGGAAGAAAAAAAAGATATGCTTCTTAGACTTATTTACTTCTCATTAAAATTCTAGTAGTGTTAGCGTGGAACAGTGTAGAGAATCTACCAGCAGTTGTCATTTATTCTTAATCAGCTCTACTCATTGGACATGACTTCATTTTGTTGAACAGCACCAAACTGTCTGCCATTGTTTTTCAACTGTTTTTAACGCCTCTGGAGCTGATGTTTTGTTAGTGATACTAAGAAGACCCACCCAACAGAGGAAGAGTGGAGATGGTGCAGCAACAATTGTAACACCAGTGTTGTAATTCTTTCCCACTAATGCAAGATAGTACCTAACATGGTTCACGAATCAGTATGAAGTTATGTAAAATGTCAAACTAGGTAATTTGGTGGTGAATTCATAGCTAGAGCATGGGGTTCTCAAGGCATGAAACAGCAAAATGTTTGGTGCTTTTTCAGTGTTCTTCACTGTAGGCTAGTTCTGACTGCATAGGGTAGAATGACTAGAATTCTAGCTCAAGACTTACGAATCTGTAGCTGAGCATGGATGAAGCAGCAGCTTATCTTCCTCTCAAGTGTTCATGTATCTTGCTACTATGAAGGCCAAGAAAGTCAAA